AACACACACACACACATATACACACACACACATACATATATACACACACATACACACACATACACACACACATAAACACACATACACACACACATAGACACACATACACACATACACACACACACACACACACACACACACACACACACACACACGCACAAATTATGACATGTAATGTGTAAAGTGTGTAGCTCAGTTTTCAGACGTCAGTAGGTGTGTAGCATGTGTGTTCGTGAGACCATTGCTTAATGTCCGGTATGTTTTTCGTCTGTGTGTCCGTGTGAAGCTTCTCGCAGACGTCGCACCAATCAAACTTCCAGCCCAGAGCCACTAGTTTGTCCTTCTCCCTCAACATAGACGCGTATCTCTCGGGGTCGCTTCCCAACTGCTTCAGATGGGCAGCGAGAAGCGCTGGGGTTTTGAAATGAGCCGTATTGACCAGAACGTTTGGTGGGAGGTATCTGTCGTAATCCAGACCGCCCCGCACCACTGGGATGATGTGTGCGCGGTTCTCGAAATTGCGGAACAGTTTCTCGGTTACGTAGTCCTGGCAGAAAGAGTTCTCGAAGCCCAGGTAAAACTTGTAGGTCGTGTTGAGCATCTGTGAGCAATGCTGCTGCTGATGTTTGGAGCACTTTAACGGGCCGCACGCACCGTAAATATCCACGTCGATGTGTTTCTGAGGAAGCGACATGGACGTGAGTACTGTAAATTACATTGTAATGGATTAAGAGTGAGTACTGAAGGAAAGATACGTTCAGTTGAGGAGAACATAATTTATCTGTCCCCGTGGTTTTATGCACCCCCGCATAATTTAGCAAAATGTGATAACTTCTTGCATAATTTCTGATTTTTTTGCTTTCTCATTCTTGGTTAAAATTAACAGAATCGCATAACGTCACATTTTTGGGCTCAGTTTGCATAATTTCATAATTTTTCTTGCATAAAACGGCAGGGACAGATTAATACATCTGCCAATTAAAAAGCAGAAAATAAAAAAAAAGCAATAATGGATCAATGTTATTATTATGGCGCATTGACACCGGCGTACTAACAATCTACCGGGTATCATTGTGTAAAGGATTTAACTTTTTACCCCCCCCCCAAAAAAAAGAAACAAAAACAAAATTAAAATAAATAT